AAACCACATTAACAAATTGTAGAATGTGATCGTGGCGACAAGCCATACCAATGAGGCCAGTCTCGTCGCAGCCCTTCCAAGTTGCAGCTCCTCGGTGGTCTGCCGCGGCTGTGTGCTGTGCAGTGCATGGGTCCTAACAAACACAGACGCAGAGTTATGGCGAAATTAGATTCGAAAGCTAAGGTCAAAGTTGTAGTTTGTAAATCAACAGGACAAGAACTCACTGGTGCACCAATATCCTTGTTTGCACGTGATGCCCCTGGTGCCCACTCATTGACTTCCACTGGATGCTTAAATAGTGAGGGATAGGAGGTTTCACGTTCTACATACTCGCGGCTGGCTGCTGTATGTCTTCGATGCTGAAAATTCCCATCAAAGCATACTACATAGTCAGGCTCATCCTTTTCATCGTTTTTGAGAAGAGTACCGAAGCATCGGGGACAGTTGAAGGCCAACTTCTCCAATTCCGAAAGGTCTAGTGCAAGCTCAAGCACCTCTTCCTGCATCAACAGGATGTCTCGGAAGGCATCGATAGCGCCAGACAGTGTTTTCCGCCACAAACGCGGCTGAAATACAATCTGTATCAATATCAAAAATTGAGTAAAAAGAGTGGGTAAAAAAACTGACTTGAGTAGTTCCGGGGACAAGGATCAGAGGGTTCGTTGGATCGAGAAACTCGTCTAATGCCAATGAAAACCCCTGCATACGGACAGTACATTGTTTCCACATTGAGTGATGGAGTCGAACTAGCCGAATTGAGGATGCTGTCTTTGGGTGCACCGGAGAACCTCCTATGTAGCCCATCCGGATCAACCTCACTTGATTGCATGTGCATTTGCAAAAGACTATCTCTTTCTTTTGACGAGCTACAGGATTGAAATGTTTAGATTAGGCCTGGTATGGTCTCGCTCTGACAAATTAATCACAACTAAGATATTCAACAAATATACTCACAGAGCATATCAACCAAGTCTACGGATCGTGTTGTGATATCTCCAGCCCCACAAGCGCACTCTTGATTGAAGTCTTCATCCCATTTTTGAAGATTTCCCACTGAGTGGTCTTAATCGACTGGGTCATGTAAGCAACAAACATTGGACCCAGCACTTTCTTCCACCGAATGTGGTCGGCCAACTGCTTGGATTTTTAATACGCTCCTCTGATATACTCCCCAAAGGTCATATTGACTTGAGGCGTTCTAGGTTCGTCAGTATTGGTTGGAGATGAAGGTTGAGAGTGAGATCCATCAGATTGATTGATGTCGAGAAACGGCTGATTGAGCTCTGCATCAAAGGTCGAATAGTCTTCATGAGCCGGTCTAGACAGGGTCCGGTTTTGAGAAGATGAGTTGTCGTTTTCCATCAGAGCCGTGTTCAGTTTGTCAGCGTTTGCAAGTGCTGATTGAGTTTCCACCGCAGATAAGACAGCAACAGCCTGAGAAGATGAGCCAACAGGTTCCTCTTGTGTCCTCTGTTTCTTAGCCTTCGGACCCAGAGGACATTTGATCACACAACCCTTCTGTCCCATGTCGATGATGATGAATAAAAATTATTGCGAGGCAATAATGATAAAAAGAAAAACACCTGAGAAGCAAATAAACGATCTCTTCAGGTTACAAGTGAAATGGAAGATAGATCAAAATATAAAAAGAGTGTTCACAAGCAGATTTAAATGTACGATATGAATATGGGAAAGAGGGGTTATCAAATATTCTGATGAGGGACATTAGTCCTTTGATCATCATTCATGCCAGCATCGTCTAAAGACCACAGATCGAAATCGTTTCATTTATTCATTTGGGTATAGACTATCATCTTGTCTACCATCTGGTATCTAGCTTGTCTAATATCATGTGAGATACACAAACGCGCCCTTGAATCAAAAGAATAGTCATTTGCATAACTTTTCTAAGATCCTTGGAATCTGTACGCATTTTGTAGCACCCCTGCTGTTGCATGTATGTCCAAGGCCACAGCAAAAGACCATTCCTTGATTATCAGTGATGTTAGATCACCGGTGTAGTATTTAAAGCTCAACAAGAGCTTTACAACACCTAAGAAGGGATAATCTACTACGTGTAATATAGTAGAAGTTGCCTAAAGACTGCCTTCTTCAAAGAAACCAGCACAAGGGCACTTGCTGACCACTTTGTGATAACAGAGAAAAGGATAAAAGGCACCAGAGAAATAAAGCAATACTGTTGTTAAGTATTATTCCCAGATTTTAAGCGCAAAAAAGTCACACACTATGTTTATTACTAGCAATACTGTTGTAAGTATTATTCCCAATTAGACTTGTAGTCTTTAACACACGTAAATAAATTTCTCCTTGCTTTTGAAGGGGCGGATTTAAGTGATCTTAGTACAAATATAGTAAATAAATGATGATTTATAACACTACAACAAAGGTATAAGATGCAGAAAAGGGCGCTACAATCCCAAAATCATCAAGGAGTACTTATATCCACATGTAACAATCTTTACAACAGTCAACAGCCTCAAAAACCAATCAAATCCGCCTAAATAACCCTAAAAACCATGTAATGACGCAATGTAATGATCTTGTTACTAATGTATGATGTAATTTTCACAGCCAAAAGTGATCAATGACGCAATGATGTAATGTACAGCACTTCTTAAGATGAATACAGGTGATTTTTTCCTTGTAAACTAGCTGAAACCCAATTTTTGAGATTACAAATTTTTTTCAGATGTGCTCCAATTTTTGATTACTAAAGTGCATCTTGTAGCCCACGTGTTACTGATCATTTCTGAAACCTATAAGACCTACTTCTGATGAGTGATGAGTAAGATATTGAGTTGTGAAGTTAAGGTTTTTGGTGTTACATGTGTCTTGTGACTGTAAATTCGAGATTCACACCAATTTCTTATTTCCCTTATAACATTTTACATAAACCTCCGTTACTAATGATTCAAAGGTTGTACATTATGTAATCCATTTTTCTGCGTTGAATGAGCCATCTACCAACTTATTCTGACGTCATTTGACATATGTAATTAGCTGAAAACCTCCATTTTCGACGATTTTCACCTATTTTCTTCACTTTTCACAGCTGCTACTCCCTTTTCCTTGCTCATGTAATATGACATCATCTTCTATAACCTTAAAAATCCCGGAAAATCCTCTTGGCAACCTTAAATTCCATCACTACCACCATTAAATATGTAAACTACACGCCTAACCCTTGTTTACCAACTTCGAAAAAGTACCTTTCTGCTAATAACCTCTGTTTCCCCTTATCAACCTTGAATATTAAAATTGTAACTGTATAATAAACTGTTGTTCTTTCATATTCTAACCTTATAAAACCCATAACTTAATTATAAATAAGCTAAAAACCATTTTCCAACTTTTACACCTATATTTTCGAATTTTTCTTATCTTTTCTTTTTCTGTCTTTTTGTAATAACTTTTTAAGTAAACTATGTTGATCTTAATAATAATTCTGAAATAAGATGACATAATAATGAGCTAATAAGTATACATAAGCCTCTAAGAGCTTCAATTGATCTGAAAACCTGAATCTCGAATTCTCTGCTATATTGAAGTTTGCTAATAAACTGGTAAAGTAAAGATGATTAATTTTTTTGCTTATTATCATAAATAGATCACCACACCGGTCATGCCAGGGAAGAACAATGATCTTGATACCAATCAGGAATTAATTAGGAGCAAAACTCCTGATTTGAGAATGGCAAGTGACTCTTTGCCTGTTCTTCTAAATGATGAAAATATTTACATCGGTCAATTTGGTTCATACTTCATCTTTTTTGTATATTGGGTTCATACTTCATGTTTTTTATATATTATATTCACCATGAAATTATATAAAATACTGATATATTATGTTAGTATACTCAAAGAATTCCCAAGTTGTATAGTCAGCACTCTTATCTGTGCAAACCATTTGTCCCTTGATTGTGCTGCAAATTGACAAGCACAATCAAGGGATTGTGTGAAAACCAAAAGGCTGTTTAACTTGTGAGGTAAAATGATACTTTGAAGTTTTGAAGAATGAATAGTGTATCATTCTTATTGTTCATATATGCCCAATAAGGTATGAAGTAGTGGAAATTTGGGCCAGGTGACCAAAAAAAAAACATGAGATTTTTGGTTTTTTCAATAGGGTTAAAGTGAAAAAAAAAAGGGTACTTTTTTTTTTGGTTTATCTCAACAAACAAAAAAGTTTTCCTTATGGAGTGTCTTCCCCAAAACAGCCCTAAATTTTCTCTAATAAGCCCTAAGTGGTCCATGTGAGGGTGTGTTGACTACCTAGTAGGGTAAATATAAACTACCCAATATCCAGAAATATATTTCAATTTCAACTTTTGGATTTGAAGCAAAACTGAAAAAGTTTTACTTGTTGCAAGTGCTCAACCAAAAAGGCAACTTGCTGTTCTGCAGACCAACTAGATAGGCTATAAGTGGTCAATACAACCTTTATTTGGCTGAAAACTGTGATAAATATAAAATCCCCAAGGTCCAAAAATATTTTCCAAGTTTAACTTCTGGGTTAACTTCAAAACTGGAAAAGTTTTGATTGTGGTATGTGTTGCCAAACACATACCAAATTGTACTACATGCCCACTCATTACACCATCAGTGGGTCTGCAATACCCTATTTTGACTACCAAGTGTGAAAAATAGCAAATCCACAAGGTCCTAAAATATTATCCAAGTCAAACTTCTGGGTTAACTTCAAAACTGAGAAAGTTTTAATTGTGGTATGTGTTGCCGAACAATTATCCAATTGTACTACGTGACCACCCATTACACCATGAGTGGGTCTGTAGTACCCTATGCTGACTACCAAGTGTGACAAATATCAAAGCCACAAGGTCCATAAATATTATTCAACTTCAAATTCTGGGTTAACTTCAGAAATGAGAAAATTTTAATTGTGGTATGTGTTGCCAAACAATTATCCAATTGTACTACGTGACCACCCATGACACCATAATTTGGTTGGGATAACTTGTGTTGATAACCAGTGTGATGAATATCAAAGCCCAAATCTCCAATAATTTTATTCAGCTTCAACTGTTGGAAATTATCATAAACTGTGGAATTTTAATTGGAGCAAAGTAACTTGAAAGTACATTCCAAATAGTAATGAGCTTTCAATGGCCCACCTCTAGCCTGCCCAGGCATAGAATAATGATTTCATCAAAACAATCTCTATGTATTTACTGAGAATTTCACAACTTCTATGCCCAATTATTTTATTAGGGACTTCCTCAAGAAAATCAAAGAACATTGCAAAATGGAGGTATCTCATTTTGGTACATTTGGGTCTACACCGGAGCAGCCAAAGTATTACATTTTTTTTTTTTTTTTTTTTATTGCATTGTTTTAAGTGCTTTTGTAGCCGCAGGCTATCAAACACTCTATAATATGTCCAGCACCGGTAAAACCCCTCTGGCTGTGTCAGGGGAAAGGGTTGCTGTTGGCTGTTTCATCTAGGTTACAAGTTTTAATATGGTAATGAGGAGATTAGGGCGGTGAAGTAGGGGGTGAGATCTTATTCTGGCGGTTGTTGTCTATTCGGTGGAAGGGGTTGGTCTGTGGCTTTTGCCCAGACCCAGCGGTTTGCAAACCTCCATGTGGAGTTGCAGAATTGGGAGATGAGTTTGAAACATTTGGTGTTTGAGAGGAGTCTTTTGTTCATGTTGACGGCGTGTTCGAGAAGCCCTTGTTCGAGTGTATTTCGTTGCTGTGCGTGCTTCTGGCATATAAAAAGAAAGTGATCCACTGTCTCTATGCCCTCTTGGCATTCACAGACAGGGTCGATTGGTTGTTTAAATCTGTTGAGGTAAGAATTGAGCGGGACATGACCTGATCTTAGCTGTGTAAGGGTCGCTACTTCATGTTTGAGGAGTTCCGAGAGGCCATCGAGATGTTTTTTGGGCTGAGGCTTGTGACCCAGACGTTTGATTTCCTGTTCCGTGAAGGTCGTGGTTTGTGCATTCTTCCATTCCTTGATGGCGGATAGAAAGGCTGCCGTGTTTGGAGTGTTTGTAAAGGTGCTAGGTAGTGACGTCTTTGAGAGTGAGTTGGCTATCTTGTCGGCAGCCTCGTTGCCGGGTATACCCTTATGGCCAGGGCACCAACGTATGATTATTCTCATGGATGGGAAGCTTTGTTGTAGACATCGTAAAATCTTGAAGGTCTGAAATCGGTTATCTAGGGATGAAAGTGATGAGGAGTGGGAGTTAAGGTCTTTAACTACCCCTTGGTTGTCAAGAACAATGGTGGTTTTGTGAGTGGCAGGTGTCGCAATTTCTAGAGCAATGTTCAGCCCCAGTTGGACACCTTTGTACTCAGCTTGATAGATCCCGTGTGATCGTGCCGGTCCTAAGTGCAGTGATTTCGACGAGCATGTGTTGGCACACCATGCCGCGGCGGCTGTTGTTTTCTTGGGAATTCGTGATCCATCGGTGAAGATCAGAAGGTGGTGCTCGGTTGGTCTTAGCCTGAGTGCGTCGGATGTTGCTCTGGCTTCGTCC